TGCAGCGAAGCAGAACATGCCGGTGATGTGCACAACTAGGGATGGTACTGATCACTCCTGTAAAGTTTGGTTAAATTCCAACTAATAGTTTGACCTGTGAAAGCTTGACAAGCTTAATGTGGATGTACAGTATAGAAAATTAAAAATATGGTGACCGACAAGAAAAAAAAATCTGATGCATCGCGTGTACTGTAACGTTCATACCGACAAGAAACCTTTTGTAACTTTATATAATCAGTTGCAAAATTTGTGTTGAAAGTATTTTATGAACATGTTTCCACTTTTTCATTGAAGACATTGCATGAATATCTATGACTACCGACAGGAAAAAAATAATCAGACATTCTGCGTAGCGAAGATTTACCGGCAAGACATTTTATTATAAACATGTATTTATTTCATTTCTAGTAAAAATTCTAAACTCTATTCTAATATTTCATCGTAGATTGTAAAAATTTGGGGTGCTGTTATTTTTGTTGCAAGACATGAAATAAACATGGGGATGTAGTAAGAAATGTTAATGTTAAAATTAGTACTGTATCATAACCAATGAAATATCTTTTATATCAAAGAAAAGGCATCCTCAGTAACCCAGGCCGTATACCGGTATCGGTATTAAAAAGCTGTATTTACGGATAGTGTACCGTGGGTTCTGGCGATGAGAAAATAAAAAAATAAAATTATTTTAAAAATGCAAGGACTGCGTATAAATTACTTATTCTTCATGTTAAAATAAAAGCATATCCACGTCATAGACTTATGTAAGTTTTTTTGTTTGTTTACTTTTTTCTTTTCTTAGATTTACTTATTCTGATCCCCGCGTTACCCCGCAAAACACGGATGACTGATTTTAACGATAATGTGACTGCAATCGTTGGATTTTGGTCCGCAGTGGAAACAACTAGACACCGTGGATCGCGGGGGAAATGATTGTTTTTATCGCGAACCTCCACCGCGTTTGTCCGCGGTAGAAAAAAATCGTCCGCGGTGGTATCGCGGAAAAGGCAAAAGCCGCGGTGAGCGTACTGTAGGTCACTAGGACAATATTTTTGTCAAATGATATCAATTTTTAGTTCTACACCCGAGATTGTCCATAAAGTCAAAATGTCATAGCTGTACATAAAAAGCTAAAGGAGGTCACTTCTTCAAAATTTAGTTAACCTTTGCCCTCATATAGACGTGTTTTGACGGCTTTTGTGCCCCCTCCCCCCCCCTTTTGAGGCCTCAAACAGTAAACAAGAGCGATCAGTAATCACATGTGTCGCCTCATGATGGCCAATTTTATGTTGTTATGTTATGTCACAAGTTTTGTGACAGACGGACAGACAGACAGACGGACAGTGCACAACTAGACTTGGTACTGATCATTCCTGTAAAGTTTGGATAAAATTGCACCAGTAGTTTATGAGGAGTAGTCCGGACAAGCTTTTGTGTATCTGGCAACACACAGAAAAAAACACCTTTTTATCAAAGGGCCATAACTCGGCCAAAAATCATTCAACCGGAAAACCCGTGCAATATGCGCAAGGACTTGAGCTACAGATCAATCCTGTAAAGTTTCATTGAAATTGCATTAGTGGTATAAGAGAAGTAGTCCGGACAAACTTTAAAAATAAAAATTATTAAAGGGCCATAACTCTGACAAAAATCATTGAACCGGAAAATGCTGACAATATGCACAACTAGACTTGGTACTGATCATTCCTGTAAAGTTTGGATGAAATGCACCAGTAGTTTTTGAGGAGTAGTCCGGACAAGCTTTTGTGTATCTGGCAACACACAAGAAAAAAACATCTTTTATAAAAGGGCCATAACTCGGCCAAAAATCATTCAACCGGAAAACCCGTGCAATATGCGCGAGGACTTGAGCTACAGATCAATCCTGTAAAGTTTCATTGAAATTGCATTAGTGGTATAAGAGAAGTAGTCCGGACAAACTTTAAAAATAAAAATTATTAAAGGGCCATAACTCTGACAAAAATCATTGAACCGGAAAATGCTGACAATATGCACAACTAGACTTGGTACTGATCATTCCTGTAAAGTTTGGATGAAATTGCACCAGTAGTTTATAAAAAGTAGTCCGGACAAGTTTTGTGACGGACAGACGGACTGACAGACGATGGAGAAGTGATCCCTATATGTCGCCACTACTCCGTAGAGGCGACACAAAAAATGACCTATTTAGGCCCTAAACACTGTTTTTCGTTTGAGAAATGTTGTTAAACAAGAGGGCCATGATGGCCCTAGATCGCTCACCTGACCCATCCAACTCATCCGAACAATTACCTAGACAAGCATTCTGACCAAGTTTCATGACAGGTGAGTCAAAAATGTAAACACTAGAGTGTTTACAAGGATTATCCATATTTGAGCAGTGTGACCTAGTTTTTTACCCAGGTGACCCATATTCTAACTTGACCTAGAAATCATCAAAACAAACTTTCAAACCAATTTCCAGGATACTTGGATCAAAACAGTAGCTATAACATTTTTCTATTTTTAGCTCTGGTGGCCTAGTTTTTCATCCGAGACGACCCATGTTCAAACTCATCCGAGCAATTACCTAGACAAGCATCCTGACCCCGGGCGGGGGCAACACTCGACTTTTTACTTTCTCTAAAAGCAAACAAAGAAATGTTTGAACAAAATCTTAACCTTTCCTTTTTATCAATTTAATCGGTCTGTCTTGTCACATTAGTTTTGTCTATATATTTTGTATATATAAATATACTAATTTATATATATATATAAATAGAAACACACAATTCTATAAATAGAAAATTCTATAAATATAAACACGCAATTCTATAAACAGAAACACGCAATTCTATAAATAAAAAATTATATAAATAGAAAATTCTATAAATAGATACAAGCGGTGGTGACACATGGTGGTGTTGACATGTGGTGGTGACATGTGGTGGTGGTGACATGTAGTGGTGACATGTAGTGGTGACACGTGGTGGTGTTGACATGTGGTGGTGGTGACATGTAGTGGTGACACGTGGTGGTGGTGACAGGTGATGGTGTTGACATGTGGTGGGACGTGGCGGTGACATGTGGTATTAACACGTGGTGGTGAGTCATGTTGACACGTGGTGACATGTGGTTGTGGCAGTGACACATGTTGACATGTGGTGTTAATATGTGGCGGTGACACGTGGTGGTGGTGGTGACACGTGTTGTTGTTGTTGATGATGATGATATATATATATATATATATATATATATATATATATATACACACACACCAATAAATATATATCGCCATTTAATGCACAAATCTGAGAAAATTCAGTAAATTAACCTTCAAGGTCAAGGTCATTAAAGAGCCCAAGTGTTTGATAAACAACATGGTCTTGTCCTTAAGTATGTTCTGTTATAATATGAAGTTGATCCCTTCAATAATAGCAAAGTTACAGTAAGTTACAGCCAAAACAATGAAAATTTCAATAATATGAACTTCAAAGTCAAGGTCATTAATGAGTGAAGGTCAAAGTCTGTCTGGTTATTTTTAAGGGAAGATTATTATGTTCAAGTTTGAAGACAATCCATTCAAAAATAACAAAGTTACAGCCAATAACAGCAAGAACAAGCAAAATTTGGACTTTTAACCTTGACGGTCAAGGTCATTAATGGATAAGGTGAAGGTTAGTGTAGCCTACTGAAAGGTCTTGTCCCAAGGGTTGTTGTTGTGGCTAAGTATGAAGACAATACACCAAGAAAAAAAAAGTTATGATTCAGGTACAAGTTTGCGGACGGTGTACGGACATAATCCCCTTCGGACAAAATCCCCTTCATGTATTTTTGTATATCTGGACATAATCCCCTCCATGGGTGGACATAATCCCCTTCATGTGTGAAATTTTGAAGTGGACAAAATCCCCTTCATAAAATTTGCGGACAGCAACGGCAACGCCGCCCCGACTATAGCAATACCTCGTTTTTTTTCAAAAAAAAGAAGAAAATAAATAGAGCTAAAAATATGACCACTAAAGTGTTAATAAGATTTTTTCATCCCGAGATGACCCATGTTCGAACTCATCCGAGCAATTACCTAGACAAGCATCCTGACCAAGTTTGATGACACTTGAGTCAAAAATGTGACCGCTAGTGTTAACAAGGTTTTTCTATTTTTAGCTCCTGTGACCTAGTTTTTTACCTGAGATGACCCATGTTCAAACTCATTTGAGCTATCACCTAAACAAGCATCCTGACCAAGTTTGATGATGATTGAGTCAAAAATGTGACAACTAGAGAGTTAACAAGGTTTTTCTATTTTTAGCTTTTGTGACCTAGTTTTTCATCCGAGATGCCTCACGTTGGAACTCATACGAGCAATCACCTAGACATGCATCCTAACAAAGTTTGATGATGATTTGGACAAAAAATGTGACCTCTGGAGTGTTAACAAGGCTTTTCTATTTTTAGCTCCTGTGACCTTGTTTTTCATCCGAGATGACCCATGTTCGAACTCATCTGAGCTATCAACTAGATAAGCATCCTGACAAAGTTTGATGACGATTGAGGCAAAAATGTGACCGCTAGAGTGTTAACGAACAAGAAGGACAGGACAATGGACAGCTCACCATCCTGAAAGCTGGCAGTGATCTATAAAGGAAATAAAAGAAATCCAAGAGCATAGCCAGTTTTGACTATGATTTATAATACATTGGTAGAAGCTCTGCAGACACAACTATGTATCAAATTTCTTAGCTCTGGACAAAATTAAAGATTTCCCCCCACATAAATCAATGTCTTTCCTGTGGCTCAGCGAATTCTGACTTCAGGGGCATAATTTCAACAAACTTGAAAGTGTTCTGTGATACAAATCTACATACAGAATGTCAAAGCTCTACACTTAGAGTAACAGCTAATACTATACATCAAATATGTTTGTTGTAGGCAATTCATTTTGGGCAAGGAGTTTTTTTGTTTCAAACAAAATGTTGTTATGCCTTTAAAAGTTTGTACAAAATAACCCTGATTAAACTTACTTGAATAGTTTATGCCTCTTGAAGAGCCTGATTGCCTCATACACCTTGTGACAGGCTAGAAAGTAGCTGGCAGCCTTATGGTACTGTCCATCTATCTCTAACTGTACAGCATAATCTTCACACACTGATGTCCAAGTGTCATAGGAAGCTAAAATTATAGATGAAGAAAATATTGATGCTAAGTAGATTTAATGTAATCTGATAATAATTTGGGAACTGTATGTTTACAGTTATATTCAAACAGCCAGTTTACTTACTCAGTATTCTTCAATCAATGTTTCTGTTCAAGTGATAATCTTTGTTTTTTTCTGGATCAAACTTTCTATACCAGTGTTAATCTTCTTTTAAGATCACTGTTTCTGGACCAGAGTTAATAAATTTTCCAGGATCATTGTTCAAGTATCAATGCTTATCAATTTTTTAGGATCAATTTTAAAGCATTTTATAGCAAAAAACAGATAATAAACTACCCGTATTACGTCATCCACATCAAGATCACCCAAGTGCTGCTATCTCATAGTTTATCGGGCGTTTGATAAGGACACAAGTGTAGAAATTTTTCAAACTTTTATTTTTTATTGTCTTTCGGTAAGTCTATTTGCTGTTTTTTGGGTAGCTCATATTGGCATGTAGGTCGAATATGTTTTGTGATTCGCTTATTTTTTGTTTGTATCATGAGCTTAAATGATGATGAACCCAGTCTTCTTGCTGGTTCATCTAGTGGAAGGGATTTTGAATGTTTCGAAGAAACTGATATCATGCAGATCCCCGCGGTTGTTGCTGAAATTTTTGTAGATGGCCGTGACCACAACCATAGCTAATGATCCTGTGGCTAATGAGTGGCTAGATTAAAGTCTGTGGTTATTAAAAAGAACCCTACAAAGTCAAAGAATGCCAATCAAGGCAAGGGTAAAGGTAAGAAGAAGTGTTTTGATTTGGAGAATTTATCTTCCCATGATATATCTATCTTGTGTAATAAATTAGGCCTTATCAAAACTGAAGATAAAGAAAACTCACAGAGTTTTCAGTCAAATAGGTCTGGGTTGCGTATTGAAGTGAACCAACAGGATTTGTCTGAAAATGATGAGGTAGATATGTGCTATGATGATTCCCCTATTGATAGTAACAAGGCTTGAAGAGACCTTGAAAAGGCTCTTTTTGGTGAAAGTGAAAATTCAAACACTGATGATGATGAGTGGGATTTACCACAGAATTATGTTAAGGTCCTAGTATTGACAAAACCCTTGCAAAGTTAGCAAATTTATCTTGTACTTCTCAGTCTAATATCTCTGATATTTTGCAAAATTATAAATTGCCAGAAAATTGTGAGTTTTTGGCGCCGCTATATGTTAACCTTGACATTTGGAAGATTTGAGGAAAAAGGGGGTCAAATATCTGACCATTGTTTGGTTTATACTGTAAAACACTTATTTTTCGCGAGAACGTTACTTCGCGAATTTGAGGCAAAATGTCCAAAATAATTATTTCGCGTCAACATGAATTCGCGTCTTCCCGAAAAATGTGAAACCGGAAACCCGATGCCATTCAGATATTTTCTGTCCTGTCCGTTCACTAACTTTGCGTTGTTTATTGTACGACGAATGCATTTATATCTATATCGATATTTCTGATAGCTTGCTAATCTTCTTGTTAAGTGAAACCGTCTGTCTAAAAATATGTCAAAAAAGTTTGATAATTACACTGTGTTTGTCATGTATTGTCCCTAATTTCCCCAGCATTCAAAGTGTTTAAGTTTCACTGATTAGCCATTCAAAGGCAAGCAGACGAAAATCAATTGAACGGTACTGTAATTTGCCTAACCTGAAGTAAACGATTATGTTTACCCTCCGGCTTAAACTGTAGTATAATACAATAGGATACAATAAATAGAAATGTTACAAACAACTCGCAGGTGCTAAAGTATTTGTACCAAATACCAAAACAGTTATTCCGGTCAGTTATAGGCAATTGATAAATTGTGTTGGAAATTAAATTAATCCATTAAGATGGACAGATTTTCACATTAATTAGAACAATCTGTAGAAATACCATTAAAATTTTGTGAGACGCATTAATTTGTTTATACTTGATTCTAGTACAAGTCACAGTTACCTTCCTTGACGCAGGTAATATGCAGCGAAGAAGTTTTTTTCCAATTCCTCAATAATACCAAATTATTACAGGTAAATATTTCATACTAGTAATCTGTACAATATGTATATGCTGCAACACTTGAATAGCTACATGTTGTAACTAGAACTGGGTTCGATACTTTCCCGCAGATATATATCCATGTGTACGCATTTTCGGATAATGTTCATTTTCGGACAAGGGTATAGACAAAATGAAATATTCGCGAGAAATATGAATTAGCGTCTTAGAAAACTAGCGAATATTAGCGAAAAATAAATTTCTCGCGGATAATAAGTGTTTTACAGTATCCAGAATATTCTGGCTGCAAAAATGGTAGCAGTAGTTAAATTAGCTTCTGTGCTAAAGCATCATATTACAAGTTTAAATATATATATGCATATATGTATTACAGAAGAAAGAAAAATATAAGGTAATTTTGGAGTCTAATACCTGCGTTGTATACGCGATCTGATTGGACGTCAAATTCGGCTCTTCCAATCAGATCGCGTGTTAAAACGCAGGTATCAGAATACCAAATGGCTCCAACAAGTCAAAATATACAATGAAACAGAAACAAGAGGGCCATGATGGCATCAAATAACAAGAGCCACAGCCGGGCGGGGGCAACGCTCGACTTTTTACTTTCTCTAAAAGCAAACAAAGAAATGTTTGAACAAAATCTTAACGTTTCCTTTTTATGAAATTAATCGGTCTGTCTTGTCACATTAGTTTTGTCTATATATTTTGTATATATAAATATACTAATTGATATATATATATAAATAGAAACACGCAATTCTATAAATAGAAAATTCTATAAATAGAAACACACAATTCTATAAATAGAAAATTCTATAAATAGATACACGTGGTGGAGTCACTTGGTGGTGTCACATGGTGGTGTCACGTGATGGATTTATGGGTGGTGTCACGTGGTGGATTAACATGGTGGAGTCACGTGGTGAAGTCACGTGGTGGAGTCACATGGTGAAGTCATGAGGTGGAGACACGTGGTGAAGTCATGTGGTGATGTCACACATGTGGTGGTGTCACACAAGAGGTGGAGTCACGTGGTGGAGTCACGTGATGTCATGTGGTGAAGTCATGTGGTGTCACGTGGTGGTGTCATGTGGTGAAGTCACGATAAACAACAAGGTCTTGTCCTTAAGTATTTTCTGTTATAATATGAAGTTGATCCCTTCAATAATAGCAAAGTTACAGCCAGTTACAGAACTTCAAAGTCAAGGTCATTAATGAGTGAAGGTCAAGGTCTGTCTGGTTATTTTTAAGGGTTATCCTTGGAGATTATTATGTTCAAGCTTGAAGACAATCCATTCAAAAATAACAAAGTTACAGCCAATAATAGCCAAAACAATAAAAATTTCAATATTTTGACCTTCAAAGTCAAGGTCATTTATGAGTAAAGGTCAAGGTCTGTCTGGTTATTTTTAAGGGATATCCTTGAAGATTATTATGTTCAAGTTTGAAGACAATCCATTCAAAAATAACAAAGTTACAGACAATAACAGCATGAACAAGCAAAATTTTGACTTTTAACCTTGAAGGTCAAGGTCATTTATGGATGAAGGTCAAGGTTAGTGTGATCTACTGAAAGTTCTTGTCCCAAGGGTTGTTGTGGCCAAGTATGAAGACAATACACCAAGAAATAAAAAAGTTATGATCCAGGTACAAGTTTGCGGACGGCAACGGCAAAGGCAACGCTGCCGCGACTATAGCAATACCTCTACTTTTCTTTCAAAAAAAAAAGAAGTCGAGTTTTTGAACCCAGGTGACCCATATTCAAACCTGACATAGAAATCATCAAAACAAACTTTCAGACCAGTTTCCAGGACATTTGGGTCACAACAGAAGCCACTATAGAGTTAACAAGATTTTTCTATTTTTAGCTACTGTGACCTAGTTTTTCAACGGAGATGACCCATGTTGAAACTGATTCGAGCAATGGACCTTTCCTGTTTTTCGAAGCAGAACATTTAGCCACACCTTTTCCATTCATTGCTAGGTCAACTGCTCACAAACAGTATCACAAACATAACCAAGTATTCTTTTGTGCAAACCAGGTCAACCAGTGACTAAGTTTTATCTCAGTGTACCAACTGGACAAGTTAGCCAATTTACATAAAACTGTAAACACTGGAAAGGTCCATTACCTAGACAAGCATTCTGACAAGTTTGATGACAACTGAGTTCAAAATGTGACCAGTAGAGTGTTAAAAAGGTTTTTCCATATTTGGGCGGTATGAACTAGTTTTTGACCCCAGGTGACCCATATTCGAACTTGACCTTGAAATCATTGTCAACAAAGTGACTAAAACAATCAGCAATATACCTGTGACAGTTCATTCAAAGTTTGTGTGCTATGATATTTCTATTGTAAGGTTAGTACAGTCCCTGGGGACTGTTTGTGTGCAAAAAAGAGCCATGGATAAATGTTATACCAATGTAAAGCTAAATATTTGAAGTTTACAAAAATTTTGGGTAGACATGTCAAATCATGGTACGTTTTGAGAAATCCAAGATGGCCGCCAAGATGGCCGCCAAATTATTGAAAAATGGCTAATACGCATTTTATCTGATAAAATTGGTTCTTTTTTGTATTTATTTTAGTATAAATGATGTAAGAACTTCACATCCTATTGAAAAAATATGAAAATGGAGGCATTTCCATTATTTATTCATATTCTCTGAATTTCATTGATAAAATTTGCTAAAAATTGCATGAAAAAATTACCAAAAATTGATATGGGGCTGATATTTTTTCCTACCAGCTAAGGCATAGCGGTGAAAATGAATATTTTTACCATAGACCACAAAGACTTGAACAATATCATACTAATATCACCCTTATTTTTCATCTTTATTGTAAAAGATTGTGGATTCTGATATTGTTAAAGTGGGTGGGGTAACGAAAATTAAGTCTCAGTATTTTGTTAACTGGTTTGTTATGATAATTAAAACTATGAATAGTCAACATGTATTGCACTTTGGCATGTA